TCCTCTCGCCCAAACAGGCTCTATTACTCCTTGGTGATCTTTCCCCAACACTTCTCCATGCACATACCCCATTTGTTGTACCATTTCCTGATTTTGGGAACTATAGGTTGCATCCGTTACTATTCGCATTCCCATCATGGACATAACATCTAGGCCCCATAAAGAGATGGGCAACTTCATTACAAAAGGTTGAAATAGTCCTTGATGGCCTTCTTCATCTGTCCACTTTAAGATCTTAGCACTACACTGTGGGTCTTGAGCATATCCTAAACCCCTAAGCGTCTGACTGGATTGTTGCAAGGGCCAATTTGAAGGCCAGTCAGACTGATTTATAATACTTTTATCTGCACCTGTATCTAGGAGCCCTAAGAAGGGCTTTCCTTCCACATATAATTTTGATATAGGCCTATCATACAATCCAAGATTAAGCCAGGCTTGTGGCCCTCCTGTGGATCCAAAACCTCTGTATCCCCTAACCTGTGACTTTGAAGGATATTTTGCACGAGAACTGGGAAAAATCAAAATTTGGGCGATGCAATCTCCAGGGTTTATAAGAGCTATCCCCCTTGGAGAGGACACCATAATTCCTACTTTTCCAGTATAATCCGAATCAATGACTCCTGGGTAGATTATTAATCCTTTTAGAGTAGTGGAACTTTGGCCAATTAATAATCCTACTGTGTTTCACGGTAGCGGACCTTTAAAGTCCGACTCCACCACCTGAACTCACATTTGAGGTGTTAATACGAGTCTGGAGGTGGCGCAGAGGTCCAGTCTTGCGCTTCTTGGGCTTGCTCTTCGTGCGGTACCTAAGTCCCCCGGGATATGGGGATTTGATGCATGGGAGGTCACATCAATGGCCACGGTTGAGGGGTTGTCTGCATTGCCCCATATATTTGAGGGCCCTGAGGCGCAGGGCCCACTCTCCCGTTTTTTGACCTAGCGCCCAATTGATTGGGAGGTAAAGGATTGCCTTTAAGGTCAAATCTCGATCGGCATTCCCCTGCCCAGTGGTTACGTTTTTGACATCTGGGGCACAACTTAGGAAGCATATCCATAGGTCTAGTGGCCGTCATTAAGGGATTAGGACATTCTTTTTTAAAATGGCCAAATCGTCCACAATTAAAACAGCCGGACCGTTGCTTAGGTCGGTTATTTGATGTTGACAATTGTTTACCTCTCAGGCCTGTAACTATTGCAGCTGCCAAGGCTTGCCCTTGAATGGAGTGCTCATTAATATCTCTGCATATTTTAATCCACACATCTAAGGTTCTATTCTTATGAGGTCTGATGGCATCTCTACAGGGTTTATTAGCCTGCTCATATGCCAACTGCTTGATCAATGGCATGGCTGAATCCACATTTGGAAACACCCTTCCTGCAGTTTCCATCATACGAGCTAGAAAATCAGCAAAGGGTTCACTCGGCCCCTGAAGGACCTTTGAAAGACTATCATTAAGGTTACCTGAGCCTGTCAGCATCTTCCACGCCTTAAGGGCTGCATCATTAATCTGAGAATATACTTGCTCTGGATATCCAATCTGATTATTAATAAAGACCCCTTGCCCCATAAGCATATCCACGTTCCATGCAGGCTGGCCATTGGCTGCATTAGCAGCTGCTAGTTCTACACAATATTCCAAGTAAGCAGATTTCCAATTCAAATAATCGCCCCCTGAAAGAACAGCCCTACAAAGATTTTGCCAATCAAAAGGAGTCATAGCACGTCTAGTAAGGCTTTCAACCTGAGTTATGGTATAAGCTGCTTGTATCCCATAAGTAGCCACAGATTCTTTCAACCTCTGAATTACTTTCCAGTCCAGGGGTTCATGATATCTTTG